CGCATAGTCAATCGACAATCCACATATCACAAAATGGGCTGACCTTGGTACCTTAGACCCATTGGTATGCTGAGAAGACTCACCTCTCGAATGCTAAACTGACAAGCTAAGATCGGATGAATCCCACGCCCTGCTCCAACTCAGCTGCCTATAATCATCATGTGATTAACTTGTCACAAACCCGAAATACCATAAATACCCTCAAAATCAATCCTGGTCAAAGTCAAGGTCAACAGTCCATGTTGACCTCAACTCGTCGAGTGCATCCTAGCAACTCGTCGAGTTCCTCCCGAGTCCAATCCACTGAATCCATGCAACTCGTCGAGTCACCTAAGTGACTCGTCGAGTTCATCAAATTTCCAGAAAAATAAGAGTTCATGCAGTCCCAAAACCCTAATTCTTCACTACACTCATTCAGAATCTCGAAAATTGGTAAGCCCTACATGACTCGTCGAGTCAACTAAGGGCCTCGACGAGTTCCTCCGGTTCCTTTTGTGTTTAGCCCTTTTCAGTGGGATCTAAGGTCCCAAACTTTAGATCCACCCTCCCCCAATGCAGTTACCACGTAAAGTTGCAAACTTTACATGCATGCAAGGCCTCACAAGGCTAAAACATCAAAACTAAGCTCCCTACAAGGTTTTAGTGCATGGAAAGGGTCTAAGATGGATAAAGTGAGCAACTTTATGTGATTGGGGACCTAGAGAGGTCTAGATCTGGAACCATATCCTTGTGATAAGTCCAAATCTGAGTTTGACCCCATTTTTCACCAAAAGTGGCCATTTACTTCAAAGAAAAGGGATCTAAGCAACTAAAGATCAAGGTAATGACTTTATACCTCAAGATGGTTGCCAATACATAGTAGATCTCGGATCTACTGCTTTTCTCCTTGCTCCTTCTTCTTCACGCTCCACAATCCTTCACAACCACACAAAAAATGCTCACAAAAGCTCTCTCTCCCACTCAAGAAGGTGCAAGGTCCAACTAGGGTTTTCTCTGGCTAATGAAGTGGTAAGGGAGGCCACAAGAGGCGGGTTATGTTCTTTAAATAGGGTGCAAACCCTAAAAATTAGGGTTTTCCTTTACAACACCTACTCGTCGAGTCGGGGCCTTCTAACTCATCGAGTAGGATTTAAAATCATCGTCCTTATACGATCTCTACTCGGCGAGTTGGAACTCCTCAACTCGCCGATTCAATGCACAAAACCTTAAAAATTAGATAAATTAAATAATACCTGGAACAGGTGTTACATAAATAACCTCTAAAAGTATAATACCTGAAAATAGATGTTACAACTCTCCCCCACTTGAACTAAATTTCGTCCTCGAAATTCGCTGCCATAAACAATTCAGGATAATGTCTCCTCATTTTCTCATCTGTTTCCCAAGTCCACTCTTAACCCTTACGATGCTGACATTGCAACTTCTTTAGCTGAATCACCTTGTTGAGTAATGTCTTCGACTTTCTCTCCAAAATAGCAATCGGTCTCTCGACATAGTTCAGACATTCGTCGACCTAAATTTCATCCAAAGGAACCATGGAGGTCGCGTCCACAACACACTTCCTCAACTAGGAGACATGGAAAGTACTGTGGATCTGACTTATCTCCTCAAGCATATCCAAATGATATGCTACCTTTCCCACCTAGGAAAGGATCTGAAATGGTCCAATAAATCTAGGGCGTAACTTTCCCTTCTTCCGAAAACAGATAACACCCTCCCAAGGCGACACCCTCAGCAATACCACGTTCCTAACCTGGAACTCTAACTCAAAATGACATTTGTTAGCATAACTCTTCTACCGGATCTGCGGTATCTGAAGTCTCTACATTACCTATATTACATAGTAAATGAGCTCTGTAGTCTTGAGCACCACCTCCGTGCTCCTCATGAATCTACGACCAACCTCCCCCTAATAGATCGGGGTTTGTCACTTCCTACTATTGAACCTCGAAAGAGGTACACAAATACTTGAATGGTAGTTGTTGTTATTTGAAAAATCTGCCAAGGGGAGATAAGAATCCTAAATCCCGCCAAAATAAATAACACAAGACCTCAACATATCCGCAAGAGTCTTAATGGTCATCTCGCTCTATTTATCGTTATGACGGTGATATGTTGTACTAAAGTAAACTCGAGTACCTAACTCCTCGTGAAACCGCTTCCAAAACCTGGAAGTAAACGTCACATCCCTGTCGTAAACCACAGAAACCAGCACACCATGTCGAGACACAATCTCATGAACATAAATGTGAGCCTACTTCTCCATTCAAGAAATCTCTTGAATAGAAATAAAGTGAGCGATATTGGTTAATCGGTCTATGATGCCCCACATAGTGACCGAACCTCGAGCAGTGGCAGCTTCGTAATAAATTCCATGGTAATCTGCTCCCACTTCCATAGCGGTATATCCAAAGGCTAAATCTTGTCGTGAGGCTTCTGATGCTTAGCCTTGACTTTCCTATAGGTCAAACATCTACTAACATACCGAGCTATGTTCTGCTTCATGCAGAGCCACCAATAATCATGTCTCAAATCCATATACATATTCGTCGCCCCTAGATGAATCGAGAACTTAGACTTATGATCCTCCTCCAACAATGTCTCTCGAGTCCTGCCTGAATAAGGAACCCAAACACTGTCGTGAAGAGTCAACAAACCATGGGTGTCGATATCCAAAGTTGAAACCTGACTAACTACTCTCTCGCTCTTCCAACTCTCCACCTTAATTGCCTCTACACAAATATCTAACAGGAGTGTAACACCCATTTGTAGGCTTCCGATATGTATTTTTTTTTTAATTTTTAAAAAAGAATAAATAATAATAATAATAATAATAATAATAATAATAATAATAATAATAATAATAATAATAAATGGAATATATTAGTCCAGTGGTATAATTGCAATTTCTAGAAATAATTATATGTAAAGAGAATTCAAATTTGGGGGAAGTTTTGCTAGCATGTATAAGTTCAAGGAACAAATCCGGAAATTGAATTGTCTCCTTCTTCGCATCACAACTTCCTTCTTCCCTTCCTTTAAGAATGAAGAGTTTGTGAGACTCTGCTTGGTAAACAGGGTGGTCCGTGATTGTCATGGGCCCTTCACTTTCACTACATCGATGTGGATTGCCTCACGAAATAGCAATATAATTTTTCCAGGCATTTGTAATTGGTGACCTAATTAGAAAACATCTTGCTTCTAACATAGGAGTTGCTAAGAGTCAAATTTGGAAATAAATAAATAAATAAGATTGTATGGGAAATACTTCAGTAAATTCTGGATGACCATCCTATATTGCTGAATAGAGCGCCTACTTTACATAGATTAGGATAATTAGGGAAACGATAACTTTATTTAAAAGATATATACCAGGAAACATGGAAATTTAAATAGTTCTTACAAATGGGTACATAAAATACGACATCAAATTTAGGCAACATAAATTCAGTCTAACGGAGAGAAACTTCACATTTGGATAGCCCCTACTGTTATCATTGCTGATTAGATACATGCGATTCTCCTTCCCACTCGTTCCTCTTTCTCCAACATGAGTCCACGACCAACGTCAAGCCCCCTTTGTTTCATTCATACCGGACACCAATTAATATCGCCGCCACCGTCCATTCTCCCTAGTCTCATCTCCCGGTCGAGTTGCAACGCCCTCATGCTGTCGGAACCCTAGGTGATGCTAGAAGAGAAACCAAGAATGTTAGAACCCTAGGCGAGGATAGAAGAGAAAACCAATAAGGATGATAGTGGAAAGGACAAACAGAGAAAACGAAGGTCGAAATGGAAACGATGATTCTGCGGGGAAGGAGACAACAATTAGAGAGGAGATAGGTTTTTCTTTTAGATTTAAGAATTAATAACCAATGACTTCTTTTCATTAGGTGGTAAGGAAACAACAAGCCCCATATATTTCATATAATTACATGGATATTAAATCTTACTAAATGATGCAAAGTGACATTTTAAACCCGGTAATAAGGCTTTATTCTGCTAGGAAACAAGAAAAAACTTTACGGACCTATTAAACAAATTGCAAATTCATCGATGGACCAAAATGACATTAACCCAAAAAATTTATAAACAACTACTAAAAACAATATATTACAGTTTAATATTTCATACACAAATCTTTTGATAAGAAATACATATTTAAAGTATTATATTCGATAAAACTTTCTAATTTATTAAAAAAAAATACTTTAGTAAATTTATAAATGTATATATTAAAAATAAATAATAAAATATTATTCGTTTTTATTTTATAAACCACAATCAATCCAAAATCCTAAATAATAATTCGGTTTTATTAAAAATCAATCAAAAAATCTAAATATCTCAAATTGGACGATTAGGTTTTATTTCGATCTATAAATTAACCAAACATCAAAAAAATCTAAATACCAGCGATTTCCTTTCCCTCCTTTTTCTATTATTTCTTCTCTTTTGTGTCTATGTTGATTCGATTCAGCATTGCTTGACTATGTTTATTGGTCAAGCCTCGAGGTGATCAGATCTGTTGTGTTCAACATAAAAGGTGAAGTCAGTCAATTCAAATTAACTCTCTATTTCTAAGGAGGCCTAATAACTAATAAGGTTTTGTTATTCTTCCTGTTACTATATTTATTTTGACTAAAGCTCTAGCAACATCATGCGTTTACTTTGGGTCAAACTTTATCTACATTAATTATCCTGCTTCCAAGTTCCAACCACCTGCTTACATCTAGAATTGTCAAGCCCCAGAGAAGTAAAGGGGACGGAAATTACACAAACAGGCTAAAAATGGAAAATAGAATTCTGATCACGGATTTCTGGAAATATCTTTCTAGCTTCTAGCTAGTTTGCTTGGTACTTTCATCCATATTCTCGTTGATTAAACAAAAATATTTCTTGAACTCCGATGTATGTAATACTATGTATATATATCAAGCATCAGTTAGCTATTGTATTGCTAAATCAAGTTAACTCTTCATTTTCTCTGGTCCAGCAAGATGACATGGACATCACCTACAGACGCTGTGCCATGGGTGGGATTGTATATTTGTGCAGCCTCTCTGGTTTGCACTCTAGCAATGGCAGCCGATGTCTACCGAGGCTTTCGACAACGGAAGCTCTGGTTTCCATGCAGATTTTTTACCATCAACTCTGTTTCCATTACACTTATAGCAATATCAACGAAGCTGCCCGTAGATCTAAGCAGTGCCTTGAAAGGACATGAGATAGAAGCAAAGTTTGTGAGTATCACTTTCCTTGTCATCATGTTAGCCAACTTTCTCCCATCTTTAGGTCTTATGAATGACAAGGAACTTCTGCTGAATACTGTGGCCTTATGTATCCTCATGCTCACCATTACTGTAAATATGTTGATCCAAGTTATTAGTGCTTCAGCGAGTTTGTCAATCGCCACAATAATCCTTTTATTTATACTACCAATTCCATGGCCAATTTCAGTAGCCTTGACGGTTTCAGCATCTAGAAGAGTATTACAACAACGATACAAAGAGTTACACATTTTGGCTTCTAATCATCAAGATATAAACTTCTCCAGCAAGCGACTCATATGTTATGTTAAAAAAGTATTGGATGATGGCAGAGACTGGTAACCCCCAATTTGCAATTGCTTGTTCACCGATGTCTTCTGCTTTTGGGGTTATATGCTCACTCCTTGCTTCCATTTCAGTTTTTATTTTGATAGACCAGTTTGTTGATAAATCAAATTTTCGGAATGATGCATCAGATTATAAGTGGTCAATCAGTGCAATTATTATCTTGCAATCAATTTGGGGTGATAATAGGTTGTATAGCACCAATTTTCAGATGTTTGACTGCCACCAGTCATTTCAACCTCTCCAAGAAATGGAGCAAGAACCATCTAAACGTGTTCCGAGTTGAGAAGTATTGGATAAAAAGGCTTCAGCTGTGGAAAAGCAGCCCTGTCCCTACGCATATCCCAAGCCACCATTGCAAGAAGGTTTTTCATAATATCCGAAATATGATTTTGAACTTTTGTATAGCACTTCAGATAATGATTATAGTTACATGTAACATGATAAGTCTTATTCCCAGATGTTTTCTTATCTTATTCTCATATTGTTACTATTTCGGCAAGTATTTCTTGAAAAGGTTTACAGAAGAACCAAATGCATCTGATTGCAACGCGATATCAGAAATGGAAGAATATAGTGGTTATGTCCTACAGATTGATCCGGATGCGAAGCTTTCAATGAGAATATTACGAAATGCGCTCAACTCTATAACTCGACTTCTTCGCGAGTCTGAAAAGAAAGAGTCAAGGAATCTTATGAAGCTTCTCGAGAAATCTACAGGATTCAACGGAGTAGTAGAGTTCGACAATGAACAGGTCCCACCTTTACATCTGGAAGAAACCCAGAATTGCTGGAGCCTAGTAGCAGTGACACTAACTGCCATTGCCCTTGCACTTCCCAAAATTGCAACCTGCCATGTCAAGGGGTTACTTTCAAGTATGAGGGAAGGTCTCCAATTTGTAAGACATATGGAAGAAAGCCTCAATGCAAATGGTGAGTTGGTAAAGGCAAGAAAAGCAGCAAGACGTGTGTGGACAGACGTTGAAGTATACTGCAAGTGGCTACAAATTGATCTTCAAAAGAATGCTAGAAATGGAAAAACATCAAAGGAGATTCTTCAATGGTTGGGTGATGAAGCTGCAAAAATTGTGATACAGTTTAATATAAGGAAAAATGTAAGTCTGGATCACTCACTTCGTAAGTTCATTGCTGCGAGTTCCATGTATAGGATCAGCCAAACCATACTGCTTCACTGCAATGAGCAAGAAAATTGGCCAACAGATGAGGCACTGTTTGAGTTTATATCAACCATAATCGCAGATCTGCTATGTGCTTGCTTTACCAGCTTACCACGTGTCATAACTACGAACTGCCATGAAGATGCAATAGAGAAAAGGGAAGAGAGTATTCGAATTGCAGCTCAGCTTCTTGGTAGATCCAAAAAGATCTTGAAATTGCTTAAAAAACGCCAACTTCCCAACATAGACATGGAGTCAATGGGGTACATTGATAAGTGGCATGCATTATCTAAGAGTCAGATACCCAATGGTAATTCAGCAAGGATTCAACCAGCTTCTTCAAGTTCTAATGCATCTTTCGTAGTAACTATCATATAACAAGTGTGTGTATCTTATTAACTGTGTACTCAAGAAATATAATGAGGCTCCTTAGGATTTAGCATATCCAGAATTTACTCATCATTAGTGTTACTAATCTCATTAGTGGTATTAGAATGAAATCTTGTGGATTTCAAGTTTCTTAGGATCGTATCTTTTTGTTTTACTCTTTCTTTCTTGAAAAAGGAAATTGTGGTTTATATATATTGTGAATGTCAACTTCTCATAAACTTTTAATTTAAGAATTGTAAACTTAATAAAAAGTTTCAGTTCTTCATTAAGCACCTCCCCGCAGGTATACCTACAATGACACCCGGAAGATTTTATGACCCCAAGTTAGAAACTATGTGTATTGAAGATGTAAAAACTAGTAAGAACTCAGTTACCCAACATCACCATCTATTATATCATTTGAGGATTAACAGACAGGTGGTTTTCAAGAACTTACAACACAAACCTCACTACATAAACCTACACTACTCTCAACAATGAATCACTCAACCTAATCTAGAACAAAATAAAGAACAAATGATAGATCATATTAAACTACAGAGAAAACCCTAAAACAAGAGTTATACAAACGAGAGAGAAAGTGTGTGTGATGAAGGTGAAGAATGTCCGAATAATGACCCGAACAAGTAACTCTTGGCCTTAAGTATCTGGGTCATCTTCAACCCGAAGACCCGCGTGTTAACCCGGTCACATAACGAACTGAGCACATTGCCCCCTTCAACATTCAGCATGTTAACCTGAAATACCCTTTTACACATGCAGTTACAAAATGGCCTTATTTTAATTAACAAAATGTTAGCTTGTATGTTTTAAACATTATTTATTTTAACAGCCCCCTTCAAACTAAACATTTTGAAAATAATTATTTAGAAGAAAAAGGATAAACAAACTCAATTTATCACTAAGACTCTCATGCTAAGTAGACACAAGAGACTTAGTGAATATATCTGCAACTTGATTAGAAGAACTAATTTTAACCAGTTTAACAACTCCTTTTATAATTTTTCCCTTATGAAATGAACATCAATTTCAAAATGTTTGGTCTTATCATGGAAAACTAGATTCATGGCCAATTTAATGGCTGACTCATTATCACAAAATATGTTTACAGGTATAGAAATTTTAAACCCAATATCATACAAAATTTTCAAAATCCAAATTAATTCACATGATAAAGAACTTAATGCTCTATATTCAGACTCTGTACAAGAACGTGATATAGTAGATTGTTTCTTACTTTTCCAAGAAACAGGAGAATTACCAAAAAAATACTACATAACCAGTTACAGATTTCCTAGAAAACATTCTTTTAGCCCAACTAGCATCTGAATACCTTTTTAATAAAAGTTCATCAGATTGAGACTTCAAAAAACTAACACCTTTACCAGGACTAAATTTCAGATATCTTAATAATCTCATTGCAACCTGAAGATGAGCTTTAGTAGGTCTATGCATATATTGACTTAAAACATGTACTGCATATGCAATATCTGGTCTGGTAATAGTAAGATAAATAAGTTTACCAATTAACTTCTGAAAACCAGTAACACTTTCCACCAAAATATCTTTATTATTATCAAACACAACATTTGACTCAAGGGGAGTCTTAATAGGCTTACAACTTAACATACCAAAGTCATGCAAAAGTTTCAGGCAATATTTTCTTTTAGATAAACAAATACCATTTGGAATATTAACAACTTCAATGCCTAAAAAATATTTTATTTTTCCCAAATCTTTTATAAGAAATTGTGATTTCAAAAGCTCTATTACTTTTGTTATTTCACTCTCACAGTTTCTAGTGACAATAATATCATCAACATATACTAACAAAATAACAATCAATTTACCTGAAACTCTAACAACATTGAGTAATCATTATAACTCTGTTTAAAACCAAAATTAATCAAAGAATTGCTTAACTTTTCATTCTACTTTCATGGGGCCTGTTTTAAACCATATAAAGACTTTAACAGTTTACAAACTCTGTTATCATTTTTACTATGACACCTAGGAGGTAAGGTCATATATACATCCTCTTCAAGAGAACTATACAAAAAGACATTATTAATATCAAATTGATACAAGTTCCAATTATAGTTTACAGCTAAAATAAGAACAACACGAATAGTGACAATTTTGGCTACAGGAGCAAAAGTTTCCTCATAGTGAATACCTGTCATTTGATTATACCCTTTAGCTACTAGACGAGCTTTATACCTTTCTATTTCACCATTTGCCTTATATTTTATTTTATACCTTTCTATTTTTAGGTAAATCTGTTATAACCCAGGTATTATTTCTATACAAAGCTTCCATTTCTTGATTCATAGCTTTAACCCATTCACGATTAAGAGAAGCTTCATAATAAGACTGAGGTTAAACTGTTTTATCAAGATTAGAGACAAAACACTTGTTTTTAGAAATTAAATTTGAATAGTTAAGAGTTTTTTCAATGCCATATTTATATTTTCCTTCTACAATATAATCACTAAATTCAGATGGAAGTCTAGTTTCTCTTCTAGTACGTGTTAGACCAATAGACTGAGTATTAAGAGAATCAGAAACGAATGGACTATTTTCCTCAGTCCTGACATGAGAGTCAGGAGAACTAACAGAACTAGGATCAGACCCATCAAATAGAGGCACATTGGACCCTTCAAATCTTAAACTAGTATCTATATCCTTTTATGTAGGATCTGTTCTACTAGGACTCAAAGGAGAATTTAACAGGATCCCACTAGAAACATCATTAGACCTACTAAAAACAGGATTTTGCATTCTGAATGGAAACACATACTCATAGAATTTAACATCCCTGAAAACAAAAATAGAATTTGAATCAAGATTCAAAACTTTTTATCCTTTCTTTTCTAAAGAATAACCCATAAAAACACACTTTTCAGAACGAGCAGAAAAACACAAGCAGCCAAACACACGAAGATTATCAAAATTAGGTGACTTTTTATAAACTAACTCATAAGGAGATAGTCCTTTTAGAACAGAAGAAGGAGTTCTATTAATCAGAAAAACTGATGTGAGAATAACATCACCCCATTACTTTAATGGAACTCCTGATTGAAACATCAGAGACCTAGCAACATTAAGAATATGCATGTGTTTCCTCTCCACAACCCCATTCTATTGTGGAGTGTAAACACAAGAGGTCTGATGAACAATACCATGATTTTCACAAAAGATTTTAAAACGAAAATTTGTAAATTCAGTTCCATTATCAGTTCTTATGGTTTTAACAATAACTTGAAATTGATTTTTTAACATATTAAAAAATATAACATAGCTTTGAAAAACTTCTTCGTTAGACTTAAGAATAAAAACCCAAGTAGCTCTAGTGAAATCATCCACAATAGTCAAGAAGAATCTAAACCCTCCTACACACTCAAACCTATATGGTCCCTACACATCTAGATGAACAAGTTCACCAAGAAATTATGTCATATGAAGACTATTATGAAATGCATCTCTAGTATGTTTGGACTTATGACAAACTTCACAAGGTGGGAGAGAAACATTACTAAAATTGAGTTTATTTTTAAGAATGTTTAAAGCTTGATCAGCAGGATGACCAAGTCTACTATGCCAAGTAAATTTAGACACACAACAATCATTCTTTGAAACAGAGGATTTACTACTTGAAATGTATGGATCAAGGTAATAAAGACCACCAGATTGGTTACCAGTCTCCACCGTCCCCTTGGACTGTGAATCCTGAATATGAAAATTATGTTCATTAAAAACAACTTCACATTTACTATCTTTACACAGCTTATGAACAGATAACAAATTAACATTGAAATCTGGGACAACAAAGACATCAAACAGTGTAAGAGAATTAGACAGTTGCATATTCCCAATTTTATTAATTTGAGCAGAAGGCCCATTAGGGTGACTAACCCTTAGGTTTAATGTAGAAACATTAACTGGATCTTGAAGATGTAACTCAGAACTAATCATATGTTGACTAGCTCCAGAGTCAGCAACTATTAGAACCGCTGTCGTACACGATTTAAACAAATAAAAGTATAAGATAAACTGCTTTATTGCACTAACAGGTAGTACAGGTAAGCAGGGTCGAATCCTCAGGGACACGTACTAATGTTTACACCTCTTTGCGCAAGGTGTGAACTAATTCTTGATGAATGCAATAAACATAAAAAAGGGGGGTTTGTTTTTGAAAATTAAACTAACAGAGATTGAAAATGACAAGAAAATGACTAAATTTAATAGTGATGAAAATTCAAATAAGAGAAAGCAATTTCAGTTTCGCGGTGACTCCCCTAATCATATAATTAACCTTCAGCACAATAATTGGTTATGCACTTGTTTAAACTGGTACTAAAGTTCATTAACAAGCTCTAATGACCTTTGTTACAAAAATCGTTTAATCAAAATAAGTTCTTTAAATTAAACCTAACTTTTTACTGAATTAACCAAACAAGCTCTTGATTAACAAAGAAAAGTTGCATTAGACACAGTGTAATTCCCAGTAAAGTTCAAAACTTCTCATAAGCTCGGAGGCGTTAGAACTTGTTTGATCAATTCATATCAGACTTAACCCTAATCTAAGAATTAATCTAATACTTGTCACTTTTTACTAATTAGTCTAGACAATTACGAATCTAAACAATTAGATGACTAGAATGATTTACAAACAATTTAAGTGGCCAACAGAAACTGAAATCAAGATCAGACATTCAATTTAACACAGAACTGATCAAACTAAACAGTAATCATAGTCAACATAGTGCTTAATGATTAATCATACGAAAAGGTTACGTCTTGTGAAACTGAAATCTGAGTTTTTAGCCGGACATGGCTAAAACCGGATTACAAACAGTGGAAATAGAGTCTAAACGATAAATCTTACTAAACTATGAATAAAAATCGAATCGTCTCCTTTAGGTCTGCGTTCTTCACTTGGAAACCTCTGAAAATCGCCTCTGAATCACCAGGAATCACCAATTAGG